GGTTTCTACTCGAGCTCATTCGACCCTCAAGTTTTTGAATTGCAAGCTGGCCCTTAGGCTCTTACGCGTTGGGTCGGTACGACCTTTTGTGTGGGCTGGCGACAATGGCTCTTACGCGTTGGGTCGGTGCGACCTTTTGTGTGGGCTGGCGACAATGGCTCTTATGCCTAGGGTCGATGCGACCTTTTATGTGGGCTAGCGACAATGGCTCTTACGCCTTAGGTCGATGCGACCTCTAATATAGGCTTTATTTTTCCCTCGTTAAGGACTTTTTGAAATAATGTTTGCCTGACTCTTCGACGGTTTAAAAAACCTCGATTGTGAGTCGTTATATGGCGATGATCGAGCACCTCGGGAGGTTTGGCTCAGAGGTTGAGTATCTTGAAGCCAGTGTTTAGGAGTTGACATGGTCAAAGTTCTTTTGCCTATGTCGAGGGTAGCATGTTTAACTGGTTCTTTTCGAAGTATATTCGAAGTAATTGAAGGCCTCTGATTTTATAGCGACGGTCGGGCATCCCCAAGTCGCGTTAGTTTGGCTGGTACAACCTTGTGACCGGAGTCATTTGTGTTTGGCCGGAGCCTTTAAGTCTCGAGTGAAGTAGTTTTGGCGTCTATATAGCCTAAACTTTGAGATCGGGTTTATTCCTTTAGTAAGGTATTACAAGTTTTACATGCCTTTAAGGTCTTACAGTTTTGGATACTTGGTACAAGTATGGTTCATGCCTTGCTTGAGGTCTTACAGATATTGTTATTGCCTTATATAGGTCTTACGAGACTGAGGCTGCCCGCAAGTGGTCTTATGGCCTCAGGTTTTGATAAGTCGATGGAGATGGAGATTGACGATAGTCCCCGAGTCATCGAGGGTTTCTTGACTCGGGAGCCATTACTTGTAAACTTGATATTGCCTCATTGAGGGCTTATGATTTCGGAATTTCCGACCCTGAGGTCATGTGGCATTGAGTTTTTGACGCTAGTCCCTGAGTGTTCGAGATGTTTTTTTGGCTCTGGAGCTATTTTGTGATCTTGTTGTTGCTTCATTGAGGGCTTACAAGTTCGAAGCGCCGACTCGGAGGTCGCATTATTGTGAGTTGTTGACACCAATCCCCGAGTGTTCGGGACGTTTTTGACAGAGGAGCCGTTTTTGCAAAAATATCGAGTTTTCTTGAAAGACAAAATGCTTTTGGGAAGTATTATTTGATTACTTGGTATAAGTATACATGTCTTTGCTGTTACGGGCACGGTTGTTCTATGCGGACATGGTTCGTTCGACCGTTTGGCCCGGTACATTATTTTCCTGTCGAGACCCCGCTTAGCGCGTCTAGGCTTCTCCGAGTAGGTGACCTTTCGGGGGGATGACCCCCAGTGTTCGAGGTTGATTGCAAAAGAAACCTTGAATACTTGTTGAGTCTTCCTTAGATAGCATATGGATGTTGCCTCGTTAAAAGCCTTGCCGGTAAAACCCTTTTTGGGATAAAAACCTGGTCGAAGGAAAAGAGTGCAACGCATGCTTTTAAAACCTAAGGCCTTCGAGTTGGAGAGTGCTTTGGCCGTTTCGATCGGATACCTGCACTCAGGTCAGTGTAGAATGTAACTGAAAGAGAAAGGAGACGGTTATACCTTAGTGTAGAATGTGTCGGCAGTGTTTCGAGCCCTGATATGTTTTAGTCGCTTGTGATGAGGATGCGGTACAGTCCCCTGCTTTGTTTAGTCGGGGATAGATGAGAGTGTAGCTTGTTATCGCTATTTTACTGTTTGCTTATCCTTCGGCTCCTTCGAAGGTGGAGGTACTAGTGTCGGGGCCACATCATGCACCGCGAACATTTCTCTCGCCGCATGTTGTTCCCCATAGACGGTCTTAATCCCATACTTTGTCGGGAATTTCATCATTTGATGGAGGGTGGATGGTACTGCTCTCATGCTGTGTATACATGGTCCTCTAAGCAAGGCGTTGTACCTCATATGACATAGAATTTGGCATTTTGGGTTGTGCCAGCCATGTTGACTGGGAGGGTGATTTCCCCTTTCGTTGTTTCGCTCGCCATGTTGAATCCGTTGAGGACTTGAGAGGCAGGTACGATTTGGTCAAGCAGTCCGAGCTGCTCTACCACCTTCGACCTGATATTAATGTTGGCCGAGCTACCTGGATCCACAAGTACACGTTTAATTTGAAATGTATTTACAAGAAAAGAGATTACCAGTGCGTCATTGTGAGGCTAAGATCACGCTGAATATGAGAGCATCCTCGGGTATGTATCCCTGAGTTTGCTTTTCTCTGGTGATGGATATTTTTGTTCTTCTCATCATGGGCTCATGTGGGGCATGGATGCCTCCCAAGATCATGTGGATGACATGTTGTGGCTCATTCGCTTCATTCTTCTTGGCCGCCTCTCTTTTCCGGAACTGATTTTTGGCCCAATTGTTGAGGAACTCTCGGAGGTGACCTTTACTGAGTAGTCTGGCTACTTCTTCTCGGAGTTGGTGGCAATCCTCGGTCCTGTGTCTGTGCGTGTTGTGGAATTTACACACTAAGTTATGATTTCTTTGCGAAGGATCTGTTTGCACTGGCCTGGGCCACCTGGTGCCTCTGATTTTACTGATGGCGAATATGATCTTTGATATATCGACATTGAAGTTGTATTCCGACAAGTGAGGTGCCTCCGTTGGTCCTGTGTGCCTATCGAATTCGGCTATGTTAATGAGTTCCCGAGGATTCTGGCCTTGGTCCATCCTTCGGTCATTGCAGGGTATATTACGCCTCGGGGCGTTTCTCCTGTCGTCGATGTATGGCTGGTACCTTTCCTTGTTTGGCTTTGGCTCCTTCTCTAGAAGCCTACTTGGGTATACCGAGCCCGATGGGGCTCCTAGTTGGTCGTCCTCGACCCTGATTTTCGATTGATATCGGTTGTGAACGTCCGACCAGGTCACAACGGGATATTCGACAAGATTTTGTTTCAGCTGCATCAAAGCCACCGAGCTTCGTTCATTCAGACTTGAGTGAAGGCATGTACTGCCCAGTCGTCCGAGACTGAAAGTAGTTCCATTTGTTCCATTTAAAAGCGAGATACGAACTCTCGCAACATATCGTTCTCCCTCTGCTTGATCTTGAAGACGTCAGACTTCCTTGTTGCTACTTTGATGGCACTGACATGTGCCTTTATGAAAGAATCTGCCAGCATGGAAAATGAGTCTATGGAGTTAGGAGCTAGGTTGTGATACCACATCATGGCCCCTTTCGAGAGTGTTTCCCCGAACTTTTTTAGCAAGACGGACTCGATCTCGTTGTCCTTTAGGTTGTTGCCCTTTACTACACAAGTGTAAGCAGTAACGTGCTCATTGGGGTCTGAGGTTCCATTGTATTTCGGAAGGTCCGACATTCTGAACTTCTTTGGAATGGGTTTTGGAGCCACTTCTTTTGGGAACGGCCTTTGAATGAACTTTTTAAATCTACACCTTTCAAGATTGGGGGTGCTCCCTGAATTTGGTCGACCCTAGAGTTGTAGGTCTCGACCTTTTTGTCGTTGGCTTCTATCTTCTTCTCGCCCGATTCGATCCTCTTTGTGAGGTCCTCAAGCATTTTTACGATGGC